TGGCCCGTGCGGCCCCCCCAGGGCGGCATGCGGAGTTGGCGTTCTCTCTGCTGTTTTCCGACAGGATATTCATTCTCCTGCAGCCCTTAAATCAGCAGAGTTCACGCCTCAAATCATTGATTAGAAACAGATGGGCTCGCTCAGCGCTGCAGCGAGGAATTCCAGCGCGCTCCAGCCATCCGCCCGGGCCAACGTGGACATGCCGGCTCGTCCAGCCTCCTCAGGAGGAGTGCGGGGGCTGATGGCCAGGGGCTGCCAGAGGGGCGGGACGCTTCCCTCGGCCTGTAAACCGTCGTCTTCCTCCCGGGAGCTCAGCCATAGGGCTTCGGGAGGGCCTGGGAGAGGGGCAGGGAGGAATTCGAACAATAGACAAGAAATGTTCTTAACCGCTTCCTCCAGCCCTTCCCTGCAGGACTCAGGCATTAGTTAAAGGATCCAGCCGAACAGCAGCCAGCCAGGTATCCCCAGAACAGGGTCAGCATGGGCAGCTGCAGCCCGCTTCTCCCTCCTGGCCCTAGCTCCCCTCCACAGAAGCACCGACCTCGGGCCTGGAAGCAGAGCTGCACCAGACCCCATCCAGAACGACACCAGTCGTGCTAAATAAGCGGTGCCGGGAGAGGCAGCATGGTCCAGTGGGCGGCAGGCGACCTGGTTTTATTCCCAGCTCTGCCCCTGGCCTACTTGGTGACCCTGGGCAAGCAGCACGTTTCTTGGTGCATTCGAACTAGCTAGGCGTATGTAGAGAGAAAATTAACAAAAAACGTTTCCTGCGGGATGACGAGTGATGTCAGGCAGCACTCTACATCCCCAGCCCCTCCCTCTGCCCCCAGCCAAGTGGCCTCCCCCCCTTGCCCCTACCCCATGTTCGACCCAGCCCAACCCCCCAGCAGCCAGGGGGAGAGAGCTGGGCCTGCTGTGGCGAGGCCCCCACCCCGGGTAGTTGCGCCAGCCCAACCCCCCAGCAGCCAGGGGGAGAGAGCTGGGCCTGCTGTGGCGAGGCCCCCACCCCTGGTAGTTGCGCAGGGGGTGGAAGGGCCAAGTCCAGTAGGGCTTGGCCGTAGCCCCTCCCAGAGGCCAGGGGAGAGCCTTTCCTGAAAGAGCTTTGGCCCAACACCCCCCACTCCAGGAGGCCGAATGCGAAGAGCTGGGGCTGGGACGGGCAAGAGGCTGGGTCCAAGAGCCAGGGTGGCCTTGGGGCTGGGCCCTCCCCAGCGACCAGGGACAAGGCGGAAAAGCAGGGGCCAGGGCACCCTCAGACCTCCCCCAGCGGCAGAGGGGAGGGGCAGAACCTCGGCCTGGCCCCTCCCAGTGGCCAGGGGAAGAGCTGGGCTCTGCAGGGCCCCAGCTCGGCCACTGCTCTTTGCCCTCCCCTCCACCCAGCTGCCAGGAGGGGCCAGGTGCGGGGCACAAGAGCCGGGGCAGCCTCAGGGCCTGGCCTCCCCTCCCCTCTCCCCCGCCAGCGGGAGAGAGCCAGGCTTGTCACAGCAAGGCTTCGGCCTGGCCCAACTCCCTGCTGATTGGTGGGGAGAGCCAAACCCAGTGTGGGTTGGGCTCGGCCCCTCTTGGCGGCTAGGGGGCAAGCTGGGCCCAGTGGGGGCAAAGAGCCAGCACTGGCCGGGGTGGCCTCTGGGCCAGGCCCTCCCTGGTAGCTGGGGAGAGGGAGGAAGAACTGGGGTGGCCTGGGACACTCACCGACAGTGGGGGAGGAGGCAGGGGTAGAGCCGGGTGGCCTCAGCTCCTCCCTGGCCGAGAGGGGGGCTGGCGAGCGTAGCGAGCAAGGGGTGCAACCCCCTGACAATTTAGTCATTTAATTTGGTCTGTTTTCACTTGCAGCCACTTAAATAAAAATAAAATAAAAGTCAATCCCGAGGTAAAGAACTGTTAGCTGAGGAGGGGGAACAACCATTGTGCATCTCTCTCTTTCATTGATAAAGGGGTGGATGTCCCTATAAGATTTCTTGGTGTAAAACTTTTACACAGAGTAAGAGATTTATTTGGGGTTTTGGTCCCATTTGGGGGTTAGTTTCCTGGGTAGTGAGCCCTTCCAGAACCGAGCTGGTTCAGCATCTGTGTTGCTGTGCAGGGGAGGCGGTAACCCCCACTCTGTGATTTGGCTGGGGGAGACTAGAGGATCTGGCCCAGTAGGACAGGGTGGTGGGTAGAGATGTTAAACATTGGTTAACTGAAGTCGATTAACCTCGTGAATTCTTATCGGTTAGTTGACTATTCTATAGTCCCCGGCCAGACCCTGAGTTCTCTGACCCAGCATGAGCTGGAACTGAGCCGGGCTGCCTGCCTGCTTTGCTCCTTATACACTGTAAATGCAGAGTTGCTGCGGGGGTAGGTCTAGAACCCAGTGCAAGCCAGGACTGAGCTGGGCTGCTGGCCAGCCTGCTAAAAAATTTACTGGCAAGGGATGGAAAGTAGGGAAATGCATGTAATCAGTAGCATTAACCTATAAGCTTTCGTTATTACATCCCTAGTGGTGGAGAGTCCCGGAGGGCACGGTGGCATGATCAGCATGCCAGAGGAAAACCCTAAGGGGGCTTTTGTGATTCTCCTGGTCACAGCCTCATCTCGGTCGCTACGTGTGTTCATGTGGCACCCTTGTTCTCAATGAGGTACTTTAGTACCGTGACTAAGAATAAGGCAAAGCAGGGTGCCAGGGTTTTGTTCCTGTTCATGAGCAACACAGGAACAGGTTAGGCTAAAGAGCTTGCAAAATTGGGAACTTTTGGCTACTGCTACCATGGCCTGGATTCTCCATCACTGTTTGAATCAGGATTTCACATGATCATTACAAGGACCATCTTTATGCAGATGCAGAAGACACAGCTGCATAGAGCACCTGAAAATCTGGGGCACCACTGGGTCTTAATGTCTACCCATCTGCCTCCTCCTATCCCCGTTTTGCTTCCTCCAGAAAGGATCTAGGTAAATTGACAAATGCCTAGTCCCCCAAGTTAGGTGACACCCTCTTTGGATCTGATTGAATTAGCCAATAGGAGCTGCTGTTCCATGTGTAAATCACCATTGGAACCCTGCTTTAATTTCCAGCAAAGGGGACAATACAGGCTGGGCGCCCCACGTTCTTGCCTGCACCGCGTTCTCATCCGAAGAAATCAGCTGCTTTTGCTGGGTGAGTGGCACCCAAACATGGATGGTGAGGCAGGACTCCCTGGCAGCTCGTCCAGAGACGTTACAGACTGACTGTAGGTGGCCATGAGGGGAGTGCGAGTTTCAGTCTATTGCACTGGCTTAGCAATGCAACAGCTGCAGTTAGAGGTAGAAAAATGGTTCGGGACATTTTTTCCCCAGTGTTCCAGATCTCAGGGATCAGTGCCGCACAAGCTAGGAATGCCAATAAACAGGCAAACCTCACGAGTGCCTCAGGCCAGTACTGTGAACTATGGCTAGCTATTTCCCACTGGTATGAATGGGACCCTGCTGGCATGGAACATAATCCCTGCCCCTATCCCCATAATATATGAACACAGCCCCTACGTGACCAGGGCAGAGAAAAGCCCACACTAAGCACTGACCAAACAGCAAAGCCAAGAAGTCAAGCAATTCAATTTCTTAAAACTTATTTTAATATCCATGTCTCGTCGGTTGGGTAGAGCCAAAACAATCCGGCCTGGTTTAAGTTACAAATTCTTCATACACTTGTTTTCTTTTTAAGTAAATGAACACGGGTGGCAATAAGGGTCTGTTACTTGAAGTGAAACCCATATTAACAACAAAAAGAGTGGCAGCTAAAATTCTACCAGGGTTCTTTACTGGATACGGCAAGTAGCACCAGAAACGGCTAACGCTGCCCCGTTTGGGTGTCAACTAATCACACCCACAGAGATAGCACACACTCTATGTTCAAGGAACAACCAGACTGGGATACAAAGAACCCTTTTAGAATTCTCCCCTCTATGTATGGAGGCCAAATAACCAACTTCAGCAGACAGGATGAGATGTCAGATCTGACTTCCCTGATGGAGGCGGAACATGATGTCCAAGTGCTGCTTACTAAATAGCCAGTTTCTAAGAGAACAGCAGGAACGGAAAGGGCTAAGACTGTGCCTGAGGATTTAAAGATGCAGTTTTATTTAAAAACAAGAGCTTCAACACCACCCTAAAGGCAGCTACAGGCAACTGTATCATACTAAAGCTCAAAAGTCATGAAAAAAGGAAAAAAAAAAAATCAAAGCTGCAGCAGAAATCTGTATTTCCCCAGACTGCCAAGGTAATTTCAACAGACTATTTCGCCTTTCAACCAATTACTCATAGGCTGCTGAATGGGCTAACCCTGCCTTTTGGGAAGGCTGGCTTACAGTATGGTGAAAATGGCATAGTATGGCAGTCCTTGCAGAAGCCAGCTTCTGGAGAACGTAGATAGCCACAGAACTCCTTTTAGGTACCCAACACCAAAGAGAAGAAACACACTCTCATAGCAGGAGAAGGAATCCAAATGGTGCTGGGTAGAGAGACCAATCCCCAACCAACACGGGAAGTTTTGAGCACAAGTAAGATTACACCACACACGTGTTACAACATCCTGAAGTTGTGGTAACACACTGCTCAGTTCCTCCTCCCCCCAGGACGGACCTTTTTATTGGACGCTGCATCTTTAAATATTTCTGGCTCAAAACTCTTGCCACATATGTTAGGAACATTCCAACCTGGCTGCCACATGTTCAAGCACACACTTGTTTTTTGATTTTCAGTCTTCCTTTGGGAGAAATAAGGAGGCAGGGTGAGGACAGCAGGCTCCCCTTCGGGCTGGGGCGGTCTGCTGTGCGAAGTGGCGGTCACCTCAAAGGGATAAGGAAATGGAAAACACTAAGCAGGAAGCCCATTCACTTTTAGAACACACCTCCTCTGGGCTTTAATCCGTCTGAGGCACTGACATCAGTGAGTTAAAATTCGGGAATTTAAGAGAGAAATGGTAAGCGAGGGAGAAAGCGGTTTCCACAGTAAATCACCTAATTGAGGAGAGCTCACAAGTCTTCAACTTCAGGTTTTAATAAGTTTAACAACAAAACGTACAATACTGTGTGAGCCCAGGAGAATCACCTGTAAGAGACTGAACTCCCCTCCCATTTGCTGCCTGTCCTGACTATTCACTAGATACTGTACTCACAGGGTTGGAGAGCACCATGAGGACAGACCAATCTTTATTTTAAAATCCCAGCACCTCCAATAAATTAAAAAGGGGCAACCGTCAAGTGTGCGAGCAGTGAAGCAGCGTCTGGAAAACCCAATACGGCTCCAAACCGCATGCCTACCTGATGGCAAGAGATGGACAGAGGTCTCTTCTGCCCCTTGTGTATCTCCCCCCTGCCCCGGAAGGAGAATCATAAGAAAGAGGCCGGGTCAAGGAAGTGGAAAGCTGCACCATCAGTGGATTTCACATTGCCACGTGCCTGCTAATACGGGTTTCACTTTATGATCAGAAAACGGTTTTCTTCCAAAAAAATTGTTACTTTTTCTTTAAAAAACTGAAATTAATTGGGGTAAAACTCTAACTCTAGTGCCATGAACAGGCAGGATCAACTTGTTTCCCCTCCAAAGGGCAAAGAGTCATACCATCCCCAGCTGAACCTTGGTGCTTCTAGCTTTTTCAGGAGATGTTACCTAAACTTTTTGAAAAGAAAAGAACAATGTTTAAATATCAACACTGGACGAGCCCAGTCTTTTTTCCAAAGTCCACATTCTTCCTCTGAAGCACACATTACATCACGGATTCCCCAAGTCTGCGTGTTCAGAAGTTCACAGTACATGGAACCATATTTTTTTTCCTCCCTCGCTCAGAGCAGCCATCCTCTGTGGTCATTTACTGAATAAACCTCAAGCTTCTCCTATCCGCGTGGCTTAGCCTAAGACGCCAAAGGTTTTCTTGATGAGAATTGATGTTGTCATGCTCTATGGATGGAAAAAAGCAAGAGAAAAAAAGCACCTCGTACAGGTTTCTTGAGACCCTTGCGGATTCCTCTTTTCCAAAGCTATTTCTTAAAGTCTGTGTCGGTTTCTCCAGCAGTTTTTGGCCTATTATTCTGTCTCTCAGTTTGAAGAGCTGTTATTGGATGATCCAGAGGTTGATGCAATGGCAGCCCCAGCTGGGCTGCTTGTGGATACAGATTTGCGGATGTGAGGCAGCAAGTAAGGGTCACAGGCCAGCTGCTGGACATCTATCCGGTCCTCCTTCCGGTAGGCGAGGCACCGTCTGATAAATGCCTGTAAATGTCCAAAAGGCAAACAGGTGTGAGGAGACTGAAGGTGTTAGGGGAGCTTTCCTTATAATAATTCTTGGCCAGTTGTGCCAGACTAGTAACTCTGGGACCTGAGATTCTTTATTAAGTGACCACCAGACAGTGCCAACGTCCTCCTCTCCTCCCCCATCATGTATCATATTTTACCAAGTTCATGGCCATGAAAAACATGGTCTCTCCCATGGAATTTCTTGTGTGCCCTTATGCTGTACAGATTTCACAGGGGAGACCAGCGTTTCTCCAACAGGGGGTCCCGATCACAAGGTTATTTTAGGGGGGTTGCAGTATTGCCACTCTTACTTCTGTGCTGCCTTCCGAGCTGTATGGCCAGAGAGTGTCAGCTGTTGGCCTGGTACTCAGCTCTGACAGCTGAGACTGACAGCTGTGTCCAGTTCTGGGCCCCCCACTATAGAAAGGATGTGGACGCATTGGAGAGGGTCCAGCGGAGGGCAACCAAACTGATAAGGGGGCTGGAGCACGGGCCCTATGAGGAGAGACTGAGGGATTTGGATTTATTTAGTCTGCAGAAGAGAAGAGTGAGGGGGGACTTGAGAGCAGCCTTCAACTTCCTGAAGGGAGGTTCCCAAGAGGATGGAGAGAGGCTGGTCTCAGTAGTGACAGATGGCAGAACAAGGAGCAATGGTCTCAAGTTCCAGTGGGAGGGGTCTAGGTGGGATATTAGGAAAAACTTTTTCCCTAGGAGGGCAGTGAAGCACTGGGATGGGTTCCCTAGGGAGGGGGTGGAATCTCCATCCCTAGAGGTGTTTAAGTCTCGGCTTGACAAAGCCCTGGCTGGGTTGATTTAGTTGGGTTGGTCCTGCCTTGGTTGGGTCTGGACTTGGTGACCTCCTGAGGTCTCTTCCAGCGCTATGGTTCTCTGAATGCATGTTAAAGAACAAAAAGCACTGCTCAGTTGTGAAGAGGGAAGCCCAAGACACTCTGCTGGGCATCTCTCCTTGCTATCCGGGATGGAATCCCAGCAAAACCAGTAAATCTGGGGAGCAGGGGCACCAGTGTACACCACCACTTGCCACATTCCGACCCAGGGATGACTGCAGGCATTGGCAGCCGTAACTTCAGTGGGCACTGACTGCTATTGTTAAGTTGCACCAACGTAGACAGCCCATCCTGCACACGAGCTGTCAGGCCTGGAGTCTGCTCTCGCCGGGACAGACACGTCTGGCATTTGAACAAAGGATCTTCTCCCAAAGGTTCAAGCGCTGAGCAAGTTATGCACCAATGAAACTCAGGCATCCCTGGGGTGGGATGTGCAGAGAGCCACTGCACAGCGCAGGGAATATGGGGGATTGGCACCAATGACACTGAGCAAAGCACTCCAAGAAATTGCCCTGAGGGTGTTCAATGTCTACGGGTAAGCCCCAAGATTACACAAACAGCAGCAAGCTCAACCCATTACTGAGAGCTGAGTAGCTGCAGGGAGGCACATGTTTTAGAGCAGAGGCTTCCACGGGGTTCATGGATCAACCACTGTGTTAAGTAATCCACATGGCATTTTTAAAAACCATCCAGACCTTTGCACATATTGGGCAGCGACACACGGAGCTGCTGCAGAAAGATTTTACCTTTGCTTCTGGTGTGACGACTGGCTTTGGAGGGAACTGCACCTCAGTAGCTTTGAGGATTGTGTTCTCCTGCAGAATGTCTTGTTGTGACTGGTTGTGGCCAAATGGCTACAAAACAAAAGGGACAATTGTTAAAGTTGGCAACATGTCTTCTGAAGCCAACAGAATGCCCTGAGAGTCTATGGGAGAGATAGCCGCTGCTGTTTGGTGGTGCGAAGTTAGCAGCTTCTCTAGAAGTTGGATGAGGAATGCTGGGACTGTATTGTGGGTCCCGTGGCTGTTTGGCTTGGCAGACGGCTCAGTTGTTGTTTTCAGTTTAAAGGGGGTGAGCTGTGACTGTCTCCAGGATGTGCGCCCTGTTCAGAAAAGGGAGGGAACTCCACATGCGCACAGAGCTGCAGCTTCAGCCTTGGTGTCAGAAGGCCATCTCCCAACAAAAGTACCAGGAGTTCCTCTTGCTTTGCCAGCGCTGAGCTGGGGCCAGTGCGTCTGCGACTTAAGGTACTGGCTCCCAAGCTTTCAGGCTACTGTGCTCTTGCAGGAATCTGACTGGGCTTGTGTACCCCAACATTTCACCTCACAAAATCTACTTGCTTACAAAATCAGACACAAAACCACAAATGTGTCATAGCATGCTGGTTCTAAAAAACGGCTCACTCATTTTTACCATACACTTACAATAAATCCAAGTATAAATATTGTACTTACATTTCAGTGTATAGAATGTAGCAGTGTGAGCAAGTCACTGTATGAAGTTTTAGTTTGTACCTTCACTAGTGCGTTTACATAGCCTGCTGCAAACCCAAGCAAATGGCTAGAGGAGCTGATGTACCCCTGCAAGACCTTTGTGTACCCCACAGAAGTACACATACCCCTGCAAAAGCAGCACGCTCAGTAGACTGACAGGTGTGGTGGGCTGACGGGAAGAATTCTCATTGCTTAGGTAAGTCTCCTTTCCCAGGTCACCTTAGAACATGCAGGTTCTCAGAACTATCCTTTCCTACCTGGTCTGCAACTCTTCTCACCAAAGTACTGGGAGTTTAAGATGACAAGGTTGTCTGCCCTGCGTTTCCCTGCTGCTACAGCTGTTAGGCAGGCAGCCTCCACAAGGCATAATATGCAGAAATACACAGTGAGTGACTCACTGCACATTGACAAAAGCCGAAGGTTTGATCTCAGACACCGGGTGTCATGCTTGTCAGATACATGCAGGCGACAGAAAAGGGCGTCCTGCAGGAGGCAAGTTCGCTTCCTTCCTTACCTTTCTGCCATAAAGACATTGGTAGAAGATGACACCCACTGACCAGACGTCAACTTTATTTGAAATCTTTGGAGGTTCTTTTCCAACCACAAAACACTCGGGTGGCAAATACCTGATTGGAAGAAAGAGAGAAGGGTCACCAATAGCATACCCAGATTTGTTCAGTCCCTGTTTCATCAGAGAAGAGCAGGATGGCCGAGTTCTTAGGGCACTAGCGTGGGTCTCAGGAGACTTCCTGGTTCCAGTTAACTGGTTGGAACTGGAGCAGCTCCCCACCCGCTGCAGGCAGGGAGCTGCTCTAGCCCCTCAGAGCCCATGGAAGGCAGGGGCTACTCTGAATGGCCGAAGCACCTCGGTCTGTGAAAGCATGCTCTAGCCCCCCTTTAATCAGTTAAACAATTACATGGGATTTTATATCCCTAGAGCCTGCAACAGTGCAGGACAGTGCGGAGCAACCTGCAGCTTCAGCCCTATTCCCAAGCGGTGCCAGTAAGTGCCCACATCCCCTGCACCCTCAGCCCCCTTCCACAACCCCTCCCACCCAGACCCCCCCATTCCAGCCTGCTCATACCCACTGCTGCTCATACTCCCCTCCAACCCTAGCTTGCTCCTGCACCCTCCCCTGCCCAGACCCCACATCCTTCCTTCTGTCCAGACCCAGCACCCCCACCCTACTCCTGCACCCCAGCTTACTCCCTGCAGCCCCCTCCCGCATAGTGAACCCCTCATTTTTGGCCCCACCCCACAGCTTAAAGGGGCCCCACGAAATCTACTAGTTCCAGGCCCCAGAAAAGTTAATCCCGCTCTGAGGGGAAGCTCTGAGCCTTGGTGTCCCCCTACAGGGCTGGAGTGCAAAGAAACCCTGGCACCCTGAGCTGCGTCTCACCCTTTTTTCTGCATGTCCGTTTGGGACCATGTCCATGAGGTGTTTTTTGTTTTGCTTTGCACTTGCATGTGGCTCCCAACTGATTTTTTGGCAAATCAGTGACCCCCCCCCCAACCCAAAAAAGATTACCCACCCCTGCCCTGTGGTGTGAAGCAGCAAGTGACCAGGGGGCCTAGAACAGAGCAAGCTAATAACTTCACTGGTGACCTGCGGTGTTACCTCACAGCCATTTTGGTTTCAAGAGGAAGGCAGGAACCCTGTCACATATGTGGTGGGGCTTAACACTTCAGTTGTGGGCTTGCGCACATTCAGTCCACAGACATTCCCAGCAATCCATAAATGCACACTATGGTGCTAATTTTGGGTATCCTTTGTGAAAAGCCTGTTGCAGTGAACGCTTCCCCTCAGCAGAGGGGTTTCACTCCAGGCCCACAAGGGAGAAAAGCTTTTGTTTTCTCAGCATGCACTCAGAACCTCGGATTTGTTGCCCAGGACCCTTTAATAACAATTTCACAATGGAAATCTCCATCCAAGATGTACGTCGCTGAAAGTGCAGCCTCAGATGCTGAGGCCCACTCAGAGCCTCAACTCTGCTCAGCCTGGAGTACATCTGAGGGAACAAACCCACAGAACAAATGTGATCAGAACAGAGGAGGCCTGCAAGACACGATGGCGACATGAACAGTGTTTGTGCTAACTACTGTGAAGGGAGACACTGAACTGCAACTTGTGTCTTTGCATTCAGCAGCTCTTCCTGTTGATCCAAACCTCGGCGTCAGCACTGCTACAATGCGGCAGCAGGGCTCCTGTACTGCTGGGGGTGTTGTCTTCCAGGTGAAACCTGAAACCGAAGCCCTGGCCATGCCGGGCATGGACGGCATCACTGCACTTTTCATAAAGGGAAGCCTGTTACCACTAGAACGGTGACTACATTCCAGGTGGAAAATTCTTCCTGCCTTCCTAAGCCTACCTGCATTTTCAAGTGAGTATGGGATTTATCTTCACTGCCTACCCTAACTTACATGGCAATGGCATTACGTGCTATTACACAGCTGCCAAGCAGCAGCTGTACATGGAGTTTTAGTTGCCCTGCTGGTTCTTGGAATAAGAGGTGCTATCTAAACGTATAAATACTGACCCACGAAGACAAGAAGGCTGACAGTGCTGTGTGCAATTAGTTTGGCAGCATCCTTAAGGATCTCAAAGTGCTTTACAGAGCTCCACTGTAGGACCAGAGAGATACCACATGTAGGCTGACAAGGAAAGTAAACTCCAAATTTTGAGCATCAGGGTTTTAACAGTTATTTGCAAGTTTTCTAGAATCCAGAGATGGTAGCAGCCGCATACAAAACTTACCAATAAGTACCAGCGCCCTGTGATGTCAGCTCCATACCATCAACGGAATTGTAGCTGTCGTCATCCATGATCTTGGAAAGTCCAAAATCTGTGATCTTTATCTCTCCACATGCTGTACCATTGACTAGAAGAATGTTACCTAGGGGAGGGAAAACTGGTTTTTAGAGATCTCTCTGTATGGAAGGAGGGGAGGGAAAAGCAGCACCAGACCTGCACTGAAGTACATGGGGTATTCAGTGATGGACACGCTGTACAAAGGCACCATGACCTGCAAAACGCAGCGAGCTAACACAGCTGTTACGCCAGAGAAGATGTTGAGTACTTAGTGGAGTTCTCCAGAGGGGCCTGGTTCCTATAACACACCAAGTACCACCACCTACATCCCATCCTCTGAGACCTAACTTCTCGCCTGCCTCCTCACTTTCAGCTTGACACCCTGGTTGTCCAATGCATTGCATTCCCCATGCTGGTTTCTGGCTTGAGGAAAAGGCCATAACACCACGGGAGACAGGTCATGTTGGGAGCAGGTCAGGGTCAGGTGAGGGCTCCCTGGCACTTTGACTCACTCCAGCCCAAAGTTCTAATTTGCCCTGGTTTCTTAGCAGGCAGGAAGTCTCTGCTAGGGCACAGTGCCCCCTAGTGGTTCCAAAGCAATGCCAATTCTTACGCAAGACCTATTGAAGAATCAGCTATTTCAAAGGATTGAATGAGACAGCAGCACACAACTCTCCAACAGATTAAGCTGTATAATCTGCATCAAAGCAATGACCTTTTGCAATACAGAATCATACAGTAGCAGCTACGATCTGAACACATTTTACGGACAGCCCTGCAGCGTTCTCTCACGCTAGTAAACAGTGGCTTGGGAAGACCAAGAACAGAAACAGGGCACCAAAAAAATAAATTGGTGCAACTGCGCCATCTACTGCGGCAGAGTCGTGAAGCAACACAAGAAGCTGTGTCAGATCCAGGCTACCCAGTGGCAGTGAACTGTCACCAGTACGTAGAACCAATTGCCTGGATTTTACTGTGTTAAAAAAAAAAAAAAAGCGTTACCCAGCATGTGCCAACCCAAACAGATAAGGCAAAGGAAGCTTTGCTCTCGGGGGCATGATCTGGTAACTGTCTGATGACAGTGGGGGAGGACAGCTCTGTTTGCTGGGCATTGGTGAATCTGGAACAGAGGTGGGCAAGATACGCCCCATAGGCTAGACCTGGCTTGCCAAGCTACTGGATCCAGCCCACCCTGCCAAGACCCTTAGGCAAAGGACAGCCCCATGCCACTTTAAGCCAAGAGGAACTGGGACACTGTGCTGGGCATGGGGACACCCTAGGGCTGCAGCAGGCAGGGAACCTGCCTCGGGGTTCTGCAAGGCTGCTGGCTGAGAGCTGCCTAGGTAAGTGCCTCCCCAGTCAGAGCCTGCCTCTGGCATTCCAGTCCCTTCTATGCTTCTATAGATTTAGCTTCTATGATGAGGTAACTGGCTCTGTGGACGTGGGGAAGTCAGTGGATGTGATATACCTTCACTTTAGCAAAAGTTTTGATACGGTCTCCCACAATATCCTTGCCAGCAAGTTAAGGGAATGTGGATTGGATAAATGGACGGTAAGATGGATAGAAAGCTGGATAGAAGGCCGGACCCAGCGGGTAGTGATCAACAGCTCGATGTCAGGATGGCGGTCGGTTTCTAGCGGAGTGCCCCAAGGTTCGGTTCTAGGGCCGGTTTTGTTCAATATCTTTATTAATGACCTGGATGAGGGGATGGATTGCACCCTCAGCAAGTTTGCAGATGACACTAAGCTAGGGGGAGAGGTAGATACATTCAAGGGCAGGGATAGGGTCCAGAGTGACTTAGACAAATTGGAGGATTGGGCCACAAGAAATCTGATGAGGTTCAACAAATAGCAATAGGATGAAATTTAATAGTGAGAAGTGTAAGGTTATGCATTTAGGGATTAATAACAAGAATTTTAGTTATAAGCTGGGGACACATCAGTTGGAAGTAACGGAGGAGGAGAAGGACCTCGGAGTCCTGGTTGATTATAGAATGACTATGAGCCGCCATTGTGACATGGCCGTGAAAAAGGCTAATACGATCTTGGGATGTATTAGGCGAGGTATTTCCAGTAGGGATAAGGAGGTGTTAGTGCCATTATACAAGGCATTGGTGAGACCCCATTTGGAATACTGTGTGCAGTTCTGGTCTCCCATGTTTAAGAAGGATGAATTCAAACTGGAACAGGTACAAAGAAGGGCCACTAGGATGATCCGAGGAATGGAAAACCTGTCTTATGAAAGGAGACTCAAGGAGCTTGGCTTGTTTACTTTAACCAAAAGAAGGCTGAGGGGGGACATGATTGCACTTTTTAAATATATTAGAGGGATAAATACCAGGGAGGGAGAGGAATTATTTAAGTTTAATACCAATGTGGACACAAGAACAAATGGATATAAGCTGGCTAGTAGGAAGTTTAGACTTGAGATTAGACGAAGGTTTCTAACCATTAGAGGAGTGAAGTTCTGGAACGGCCTTCCAAGGGAAGTAGTGGGGGCAAAAGATCTATCTGGTTTCAAGATTAAACTAGATGGGTTTATGAAGGGGATGGTTTGATGAGATAACATGATCTTGGTAACTAATTGACCATTCATTATCAGTGGGAAATAGGTCAATGGAGGGATGATAGGAGTTACTAGAGAGAACTTTCTGGGTGTCTGGCTGATGAGTCTTGCCCACATGCTCAGGGTTTAGCTGCTCGCCATATTTGGGGTCGGGAAGGAATTTTCCTCCAGGGTAGATTGGCAGAGGCCCTGGAGGTTTTTTGCCTTCCTCTGTAGCATGGGGCACAGATCACAGCTGGAGGATTATCTGCATCTTGCAGTCTTCAAAGTATTTGAAGACTTCAATATCTGAGATATAGGTGAGAGGATTATTCTAGGAGGGGTGGGTGAGATTGTGTGGCCTGCACTGTGCAGGGGGTCAGACTAGATGATCATAATGGTCCCTTCTGACCTTAAAGTCTATGAGTCCCTCCCTCACCCCACTCCCTGCCTCAGGTCACCATTCCTTCCTGCCCCACGTCACCACCCAAACCTTCTGTGCCCTATTACAGCATCTCCTGCCACAATCCTCTCCTGCACTCAGATGCCCTCCCCCACCCTGCACCCCATTCCCCTGCCCCATATCACAACCCCCCTTCCTCACCCAAACTCCTTCAGACCCATACCCAGGCCTGCAAGAGCACTATCTGACCTGCCACATATTGCCTTGGGGACCTATGAAAGCAACAGATGAGCAAGTTTTTCTAAGTTAGTCTGCGGTGCCATTTACTGAGCATCACAAAGGAAGGGAATAAAAATGTGCAGTGTGCTGGCCAGCTATATGAAGGAAGATGCTGCACAGGAAAGCAAAGGACAACCAAGGCACAGAAACCAAGTACTAACACATGACGGCACAAGGGATTGCCCAGAACAGGAAGACTCCTTTCTGGAATTTTACCTCTTGCTGATGCAATGCTGGGAGCCAATACCCGTTTGCAGAGCAAAACCAAGCATTTCAGTCCCTTCTAAGCTGCAAGCTAAGCTCCTTGACTTTGGTCAACTGGAACTGGTCCTTAGTGGTCAGGAGAGATTACTAACAAGAGGTAAGAGGGTAAAAACACATGCCATTCGGATTCTTAACATACCTGGTTTAAGATCATAGTGTATGATGGGCGGTTTGATTTCGTTTAAGTATTTTAAAGCATTCACAATCTGCATGATAATGGATCGAGCCTCTTTTTCGGACATTAATTTGTGCTGTTTCAGGTAGAAGTCCAGATCGTTTCCCTCACAATATTCTAACACTGTACAAAACCTGAAAGCAAGAGAAAAATCGTTACAATTAAGTCCCCTGAGAGAAAGAGTAATATTGTATTTTTCTGTGTAAATCTCCTCAAATGGGATATTCCCTGCAAACGTGTACACATCTAGATACTCCACTACAGACATACAGGAAACCGGTTTGGTTCTACATGCAGCCAAATCCAAAATCTACTTCTGTGAGAACAAAACTGATTTTCCGGGCAAAGCAACATTAATGCTTTAAAAATAGCTAGCCTTTTTGTACGTGTGTTTTAAATTATGGATTTCCCTGTAGCACCTCACTAGGGCACTAAGATCTGCTGACTAATGAGTATAAAAACACAGGAACATAAAGGCCATAACCAGACTAATGGTGTGTCCAGGATACTGTCCGATGGGATACAGCACTAAACCTTCAGAGCAGATATAATAAACCCCATAATTAAACACCTACAGAACTATCTGCCCACAGGGCTACACGAGCTCTATCCAACAGGCCTTTGCATGGTCAGTCAGCACATGACAAACCAGGGTGTAGATCTACTGCTTTGCCTACTGCAGTGCTCTAAAAGTGAGTGAACATTTTCTGCATACTGCTGTTTCAGAGAGCAGTAGGCAAAGTGCACCAGGAAACCTACTGCATGCAGCAGCAGGGTCCACACAGACAATTAGTGCACCACAGGCTGGGCACTGTACCTTTGCACCCAAGCCTGCCATGTGCTGTGTCACTGCACAGACACGCTTTGTGTGGCTGGCTTACGCATGAGGGTCCCTTATACATTTTTATATCCTATTCTACAATTGTGGGTATTCATTTTCATATACATTGGAAAATCCTTTTCTGACTCCTGAGATCATGTCTGAATGATACTCCGTGGTGACAAGATCCACTGTGCATAGAACGATCCAGGGTGACTAAGCCTTGATGGAAAACTTTTGAGTAAACACTTCGTGGTGAACTTGTCCAATGTGGTGCAAAGACTACACATCACTTACGAGTCAGTATCCAGCGAGAAGTAGTCATAAAGTTTAACTATTCGAGGATGATCCAGTTCTTTGTGAATTCTGTACTCTCTACATGCATGTCTGAAAGGCAAGACGGGGCATTAGCAATGGAGGTTTTATTATAGGTTCTGTAATAAGTGCTGCACAGTGACCTTGGTATAGCTCCCAGTGTTCCACATTCAAATGGAAACTTATTCATACCATTTAGATGGTATTAAGTATTCTGGGAAATGAGGCTGTGCTTTCAAAAAAATGTACATTACCAATGTAGGTCACTGGGAATGAGCTTAGGACTTTTGTTCTTTGCATGGGTGAGGCCATGAAGTTAAAAGGAATAGAAATCCCCCTATTACGGGGAAACAAAACATACAGCACCACTGCTGGTACAGACCCTAGCAATGCACGGATTTTGCAAACATCCAGCCACCTTTCTTACTCATTTTAGACATTTCTAAGGTGACACCTTTGTATATAGATACGAAGATGGGAGGAAGTGGCTTCACTTTTGCAGCAAATAGCAAGGAGAGAGAAAATTCAGTTTCACAAACTGAGGTCAGACTAGATGCGATCATCTAGTCTGCTCTGTAAAACACAGGCCAGAAATCTTTCCCAACACCATTTCAAAAGTAAATCTTTTAGAAAAAGATCCAACATTGATTTAAAAATGGTCAGCGATGGAAGAACTACCACAACCCATTGTAAATTCTCCCAATGGTTAATTACTCTCACTTTTTAAAACGTATACCTTATTTCCATGCTAAATTTGTCTAACTTCAACTTCCAGCCACTGGATCATTTTACATTTTCCTCTGTTATACTAAAAAGCCCATTTTTAAATATTTGTTCCTCATGTCAATACTTGTAGACTAATCGAGTCACCCCTTAACATTCTCTTTGTTAAACTAAATAAGTTGGGCTCCTTCAGTTTGTCACTACAAGAGGCGTTTTCTAATCTTTTAATCATTAACGTGGCTCTTCTCTGAGCTCTCTCCAGTTTATCAACATCCTTCTGGAATTGTGGACAGAATACCTGGACACCGTTTCCTAGCAGTGGTGGCCTTGGTGCCAAATCAAGAGGTAAAATAACCTCCCTACTCACACGGGAGCTTCCCCTGTTTATGTATTCCAGGATCACATTAGTTCTTTTGGCCCCAGCATCACACTGAGAGCCCATGTTCAGCTGATTATCCACCAGTATCCCAAAATCTCTCTCAGAATCCCAGCTTCCCAGGACGGAGGCCATACTTCCAAGGCTGTGGACTCTATTCTTTGTTCCTAGGTATATACCTTTACATTCAACCGTATTAAAAGGCATATTCTAGTCAGTATCAATAGACAGGAACCGATTCTGAGATCAGGATGGGGAAAAAGCAGCAATGCACTGTTCTGCTACCGAGGAAGCCAGCCCTCAGCTTTACAGCACCACTTACTTGTGATAATTCTCCTTCTTCTCGTCTCTCCAGTTTTTATTTAACTGGTGAATTTTCACAGCTACGTATCTCTGTTCTGTTAAATCAAATGCCTACAAGGAAATGCAGACATCAGTAGAATGAAATTTCAAATGAATACCGCAAAAGCAAGCAAGAGATTCCAAATTAGTGTCGCAATGCAAAGCAAAGAATAGGTGGCAATATGTTGTAGCTACCATCACTAATGCCATCAACTCCTCTGAATACAACTCAAGAGTCTGTCCTTTAATTCTCCTGTCAATAAGGGAGCCAATTAGTGTCAGACTATTTGTGATTTTGGTACACTAATCTGTCCACAGGGTCTAGACCAAGGGTGGGCAATTAAAAAAAAATGGGTTAGTGATTCATAGCCAACAAGAGCTGCAATCCTCCAATGCCTGTGGAGGTGCAGGTAAACATGGAGATGAGGCCTGCCAGGGACTAACTCTGCGGACCACATCTGGCCCGCAGGATGGAATTTCCCCACCACGGTAGACTGTACCAATCACTTCACACAGGCCAAACAGCCATCAGATAGTAACAACCTATATTTCATTTGAAACCAAAAAGAAAACCTCCCTGCCATGACATTTTGAGCCACTAACGTCTTGTATTTCATTTTTAAAAGTGCATAGAACGTGTAATGATTTAATACACACTGTGAGCGCTTCCAGCTCCAGGTATAAGTTTCAAACCGTTTGTGGTTGGAGAGTCAAATGGTTGGGCCACATCATAGCTCATGCGGACATTTTTCACCCCTTTGGATCTTGATGTGCAGCCCAACAGGCACAAATGTTGGAACTGTGCTGCTGGATCTTTGCCCTACTCCATCTAGTCAAGGATCCTGCCTTTGACAGTGGTTGGCACCAGACACTTTAAAGCACAGTGCAAGACATCGTACTGCATGCAGATGTGGGCTAAGAACATAATAAGGGCCAGACTGGGTCAGACCAAAGGTCCATCTAGCCCAGTGTCCTGTCTTCCGACAGAGGCCAATGCCAGATGTCCCAGAGAGACTGAACAGAAAAGTAACCATCAAGTGATCCACTGCGTTACCCATTCCCAGCTTCTGATAAACAGAGGCTAGGGAAACTATTCCTGCCCACCTTGCCTATTAGCCACTGATGGATCCAACCTCTCTGGATTTATCACCTACTTTTTTGAACCCATTTAAAGTCCTGGCCTTCACAACATCCTCTGGCAAGAAGTGCGTTGTGAGAAGAAAGAACGTTTCCTTATTTACTTTCACCACATCAGTCACAATTTTATAGACCTCTATCATATCATCTCTTAGAGTGGGTCAACACTGCACCGTTATTTTGAGATAACTAGCGTTATCTCGAAACAATGTGAGTGTCTACACAGCCATTCTGTTATTTTGAAATAACAGACGGCTTATTCCAAAATTTGTAAACCTCATTCTACGAGGAATAATGCATATTCCATAATAGCCATTTCGAAATAAGGCATGTGTAGACGCTCCACTGCTGCTATTTCAAAATAGCCCCTGACCAGGGCCATTCTAAGTTATTCCTTCCCAGTGCCTTTTGGGGCTCAAAATCGAGATAGCACATCTACATTAGGGAAGTCTGCCTCTCTCTAATTTTGAGGCTTCCCTGCAGTGTAGGTGTGCTATTTCAAAATAAGCTATTCCGGAATCGTATTTTCGAAATAGCTGTGCAGTGCAGACATACCCTCAGTCTCCTACTCTCTAAACTGAAAAGTTCCACTTTTATTATTCTCTCCTCATATGGCAGCCATCCCATATCCCTGATACTGCAAATCAATGTCATGTAAACAATCCTTACCCATGACTAGGGGTCGTTTATTCAGCATGTCAATGACGGGATACAAACACTTCCTAGACTTAAAAAAATGAAGGCTGCGCCATATAACCCAGGCAATTTCCCCCCTTTCATTTACAAGAAATGTGTCAGATTGAAAGCATTACAATGTTGTTGCAATGTCACCATTTCAAATATACCATTTAAAGCAGATTTCTAACACTTGTGCAAGTGTCAAAAGGTATTTCATGCCATTCTCCTGGTCACACCAGTGTTACATTCCCAACAAATGCACATTTCAATAAATTCTTGTGGAGAAACTGAACATCAGATCTGCTGTCTAAATCAACGCCAGATGCAACATGTATTTCTACATCCCTTCCCCCACTGAAGAGAACAATCATCGTATTTTACTTTATTTACTGAATGTTTCTGTGCAGGCTCAAAATACAACAGGCTAATTCTTCAAACTTACCTTATACACTTCACTGAAGCCTCCTCTACCCAAAAGATGTAGCAAGAGATATCGGTCATTTAGCGTTGGATGGTCTTTAAATCTGGAGAGGACAATTTAATACTGGCAATGATAATACGGTCTACTATTAAGTCATAGCTATTATAGCTCAGACAGGATAATTCATGTTAAGACTCAAAAATGTGGTTAAGTTATTTATGTCCGATTTTCAAATGATTGGACAGCCATTTGATCATTTACCACTAGCACTGCAAAAACTTCCGAAGTCATTTGTAAAGTACTAAATTTTTGACATACAAATGGTTTTAACTCAGCACAGCACTGTCTCTCTGTGGGCAGCCAAATATTAAAAGCAGAATTAAGTATAGTACATTCCAATTACCAGACAACTATAGCCTAAGAGAATTTAGCTTCCCTTGACAAGGTCACACTGGATGCCTATTACCTTCCCCACATGCCTCCCGATGCTTACTGTGAATTATCTTCGTTGTGTATCCTTTTCAATTCCCTGATATGTAAATTTCTAACCCTCTCTAGTCGTTCCAACTCCGCCTGGATCTCTGCTTCTTCCTGTACGGGAAAAAAAGATGACACAGTTCAAGACACTGAGTAGCTAGTTTCATCATTTATGGATGCACTAACTGGAATTTAACGGTACATGACTGGTTTGGTAGAATGAAAACCACACTAATACCTAACTTCAAGATAGCAGGGCAGGAGGGGGAAAATTCTGGGATGTTTTGCTTGTGACTATCCATCCACATTACAGGTGGGAGCAGGTATGAGTCCTCCACCTTTCCCCCAGCCAATATTTTAATTGTTTTCCTCAGTTTGGAACGTACTGATAAAATTATATGCTTGTGGTATTCTAGAATTTTATTGGAAGATTAAACAGCAAATAATTTAGAAGGGTCATGTTGGAATCTAACAAGTCTCAGTGATGTCAAAAAGACCCTCCTAAAAGTTGCAGTGTTTCTCGAACAGAGCTGTAACTTTATATCATAAGCAGTATCTTGATCTCTTTTCAGATGTATAAAAAGCCCAATGGTTTCCAGAAGAGCCATAGGAAACAAAAATATCTACAGGAAGTGGGAGGATGTGGGCTACCCAGAGCTTTGGCTTTCCATGCTGCACATAGTTTTAACTTCGTGCCTGAAAGGAAGGGAGTTTCTAAGTAGTTGACTTTGCCCTTCTATGCAGAAGGCTGAAGCAGAGTACATAAGCTTTTAGTGACAGTTTCCACATGGTTTCTCACATTAGAAAGACAGAAAACAGCCAATATGAAACTGAAATGAGTTAGTTGCAACAGAGAAGTGTTGCAAAGAAAGAGCCATCTGGGTTGACATGCAGTTGAAGGGGAAGTAAAAATTCTCATTTACATGCAAGACTAAAAAACTGCAAGGATGCTAAATTAATGAAAGTGAATGAGCAGCCAAAAATCAAAGGTAAGAACATCTGGAAGTATCGTGAGTAAGAGTGGTGGGCAGATAATACTAAGAATATTTCAGTGGCTGAATGTAATTGCTTCCATAAGCTCTTTGAATACTCATCTTTATACCTGCCTCTTAAGCACTATGCAAATGGCCACCTTGCTATCCATTCAGGAAATGCATATCCAGAAGACCACCTTTTAGAGTCAATTCTATATCATAGGCACTAGAATGCATATATATGGGGGCTAGGCTCCAAAGCTCCCAGATGTGTTCCTGAAGCAATGTCCCCATTCACTGTGTATACCCTGAAAGACAATTCCCCACTGGTTTTTGTGACCACTCCTTTTCAACATGTAATCTATTTTCACTGATTAAAAAATGAGCCAGTTCCCAAAAGGGAGGGCAAGCACAGCTTCAGACAATGAGGCAATCTGAAAACATTGCTTCCTTTTCTGAAAAGGCCAAGTTTTAAATGTATCCTTCCGGGCTATATATTACACTGACATTAAGTGAACCTGTGATTCCTCCATTGGTATCAATGGAGGAAGCTACAAAATAGATATGGCTTCAGCAGTTTTACTTCCATGTCTAGATTAGATTTTAGGAAAAACTAATTTCCCTAGGAGGGTGGTGAAGCACTGGAATGGGTTCCCTAGGGAGGTGGTAGAATAGAGGAATGTTTTGCTAGAGGTTTTTAAGTCCCGGCTCGATAGAGCCCTGGCTGGGATGATTGAGTTAGGGTTGGTCCTGCTTTGGGCAGGGGGTTGGACTCAATGACCTCCTGAAGTCTCTTCTAGCCCTAGGATTCTATGATCTAGTCTTGCCTATAGTAGGCCTAGAAGCCATGGTGTGGTTTAAATGCCACTGAGTAGTCATCATTGTTACCCAGCATCGCCTTCGCTGCTGCTAAAAGAAAACAACTTAGCATGAAGATGGTTTTGCATTCAGTTTGTGGGCCAAGGATACACCAGGATGGGTGTGATTGGTAAAAGCAAGAGTTCAAATACTAGCCAGTGAAAACACTGAATGCTGAACTCTCTACAGGCCTAATAGCCTATCTGCCTTACTCCTCAAGGAACAAAAAACCTACTGTCTCTGAAGCCAGATGCTACAAAAGGAGCTCTCTCAAATCAAAGCAAGTAACACTGAACTAGGGATGGGATGAGGTTAAAAGCAATCCGAGCTGGTCAGAGACCTGGAAACGTGTGAGAAAATATTCTTGTTTAGTTTTGTGCTGAAGTTGTAGCCGTCAAAGTTTTCTGAGCGGCTCTAATAATAAAACTCTAGTGACAAATGGGTTAACAAGGAACCAAACAGACAATTACCTATGACTAAAGTCACTTGCATGTAGAGCTCCTGCTGAGGCCAACAAGAATGAAAACTAGGATTTCATAATGGAGTATTATCATCCTGAGTTATCAGAGGGTCAAACAGATTTGTCTGGAGTGTTGCACACAAAACTGGTTGCTTGGTGTGACAAAACCATGGAGTCATACTTGGAGGTATAGTGGGGCAGCAGGGAGGATCAACATAACTAATTTAAAAAGTCATGGCATGGCACCTGAGCTTTTTAATTCACAAGCTTTGTCTCGAGAAAAGTCATTCCTATTACAAATTAGACAACAGTGTAAAGAGCTTTTCAAAAATCTCACTTCTCTCCACTAGGCTCCAGTAAGCTAGCTAGCCCCTAGATGTTCCTCATCCCTTACACTAAACATACACAATGCTCAGTGATGGGTGGACTGGGCTGCCAAACAGGGTGTTCTCATTTAAAAACCCTACAGATCATGGAGGCTGATCAGAGAACAACCCAGGAAACTATAGACCAGACGGTTGAACTTCTGTGCCGGGGAAGATAATGGAGTGAGTAATTAAGGAATTCATCTGCAAACACTTGAAAGATAATAAGGCGATAGGTAACAGCCAGCATGGATTTGTAAAGAACAAATCACATCAGACCAATCTGATAGCTTTCTTTGATAGGATAACGAGTCTTGTGGATAAGGGAGAAGCGGTGGACGTGGTATACCTACACTTTAGTAAGGCGTTTGATATGGTCTCGCATGATATTCTTATCAATAAACTAGACAAATACAACTTAGATGGGGTTACTATAAGGTGGGTGCATAACTGGCTGGATAACCACTCTCAGAGTAGTTATTAACGGTTCACAATCCTGCTGGAAAGGGATAACAAGTGGAGTTCCTCAAGGGTCTGTTTTGGGACGCGTACTGTTCAATATCTTCATCAATGATGTAGCTATTGGCATA